ACCAAATCAACCACAAACACCTATCATTCATGGCAACATCCGAACCAACTGATCCAAGACCTACTTCCATGGACAATCGCCGAACCCTACGCCTAAACGCTTAAACCACAAACCAGCATATACTCACAATTAGCTATTCACCACACTCACACTTAAATCACCCATCCTCCACACCAATACTTAACTCATCCGATCAAGCACATACTTCCACGTGCAATCACCGACAGCTATACTCAAGCAAACCAATCCAAAGTCAACATCCATCTCACCCATTCTCCGAACCAGCACCTAAATTGCCCGATCTCGCATCAAGTCCTATCCACAACAACCGAAATATATACTCAAAAGATCCAACTTCACACCATCACCCGCATTCACACCTACGCCTACACCAAATCACTCACAACCACTTATCTCGCACACCTACACTCATTCACTATCCGATCTTAAAACTACTTCTACCCACAACCATCCATCATTGACATGCACATCTACACTTATACCCAAACTACTTACGATCATCACTTTTCCACAGGAACATCCAAACCATCCAATCAGAAACCTATTTCCACTCACAAACACTGGCATCCACACCCAAGCTGCCCAATTCCACATCAATGCTCACTCACACCATAAGTCGATTCTACTGTCCTGGTGTCCTGTCCTGGCGCCCACATGAACAAAAAAGGCCAGGTCGACAGGACAAGTGACGGCAAACTTGCTAGTCCTGTATTGAAACTGACCTTTTTACAAGTTACACGTTATGCGTAATGTTTCATGATACTTAATGTAAGTTATAAGGTATCGAATCATAAATAATTCACAATGACGAAAAACAAAACAGTGAAACAACACGTAGGTGATTGCCATTGATTCTTTCATACTCTGGCTGATTTCTGATTTTGCTTTGGCATGGTTTTTTGTTTTCGATGTATAAAACATTTAAAAACAAGTTCAGCAGGGCTTCAGATGAGATTCTATCTTCACTCTGAACTTCTAAAAGCTGAAATTTGTAGTGAAAACTAAAAAACATAAATCATCAATATCATTAGCAGATTAGTGGAAAACGTTTTGATAACCAGCTATGTTGGATGAAAAGGATAAATTTCATTTAATTACAGCATATATTAATTGTTTTAAGTGTTATAGTACATTCATTTATAGTAATAACAATGGAACAACACGTTTAAATTAACGTGTAATTAAATGTTTCAACGAAATTTAATTCATTGTCCTACCGCGAAAATTAAAATAAATCTCATTTCGTATTTGAAAAGTATATAAGCTTCAAGGATTAAGTGATCCAATAGAAGTCTATTGGTAGATGCCAAATATAAATTTCTTCAAAGCTCAACGCCTTCCCAAATCATCACATTATGTAAACCGCAACGTTTCGTGTCCATAGCAAGATCGATGAAGCACGGAAGTTAGATGAACATCTGAATCCAAAACGCCGTGTAAAAAAAGCAGTACGTTGTCCATTTGATTGCATGGACTGAGTAAAGAACTGGTAACCAGCCTTTAGTTTCTAGGAAATTACGTTAGCTACTCTGAAAGTTGTCAGACAATTTGAAAAGTTTTATTTATAATTTTTAAAGCTCTTCTATGCTTGAAAACCAATCAAATCTTAGTCGCAATACGGAAAAAGTTCATTCGAATAAAAGCCCATATAAAAGCTTATGACTTTCAAAAGAAATTAGAAGTCTAATGAGCTAGATCAACAACAAATGGCCAGTCTGTTAAACAAAAAATAAATAAAAGATTTATTTAGTCGATTCTTGGAAATAGCATCAAAAAGAGTTTCCCTTAATTTGTCTCGTATCCCCGATCTATTCACTCAATACCTGCTACATCAGTTAGTATAGAGTGACAGTTCTAAGAAGTCAGTTTCATTATACTAGAAACGAAGAACTGATCTTAATATTTAACAGCTGGATAACACATTTTACTGATTAGACCAATGCAAAAAAAACAACATATTTTTATAAAAACATTTCATTTCTTTTTATTTTTCTTTGAATTATTGTGTTATTAAGTATTTTTTTCTTTGTTCTGGTATTTTTATAATAGCATCCTGTATGTGTTAAGATAATGATAGTAAAATTCCACAAGTTCATGGTTTTTGCATTTATTTATTTCATGTAATGAACATGTCATTAAAATAATCACGCAATATGTTTCAATGTTTTTTATATTGATAATATTAGTCATCATAAAAAATTTTACTTGTTGTATTTAAAAATGATTATAAATAAGTTAGCTGCTAGATAACTAATAAACTAATATGTAATTTGGCGATCGAAGTCAAAATTAGAACTTTTTCTGTTCTGTCCGACACAATAGGGCGAAGCAGCAATCTATGTCCTATGCTTACCTATGACTTGCACCCTCCAATGGCTATCGAAATGCTCGACATTAGAATAGAATAAAAACAAAATATATATTTCAAACTTTTGACAGTTCATCGTGCCCATCGTATTGTTTTCAAAGTCTGCTTGCGTAGGAAATATTCTTTGTGCATGTTTATTTAGGAGAAAAAGCTTTTTGTAGAAGCATAAGCTTCATTATGATTATCAATTTTCAATTTCATCAAGTGGTACATTATTTAATGATTATCGTTATTTTATATGTTACTATGATCTACTACTTTTGCATGATTCAGACTGTTCAAAGACTTTCATTGTAACATAAGTTATGAAATACCACGCATTCAAATGTTGTGATTTAATATCAGACAATAGAAAAGTCCATCAGCATACATACAGTTATCAATTATTTAGTTTTTTAAGTTTTCTTAGTATATGTATATCGTAGGATTTGATGAAATAATGAAGATAAGTTGGCATATAACTGTAAGAGTACTGAAATGTTTAAAAAAACCATCTGTAAAAATTTTATATTCAATACAAATAGTAATACTTTTTTTATCTTTGAGATCGCTACACAATAGGTATTGACTTCCAACAATTGATGATTCATTCGTATGTGTGCTATACGTGTCTATTTTTTGTAATATATTCAACATATTGTAATAATAATGTTGACTGTTAATGTCATGCCTGAAAACTTCAGTCTTTTTTTAGCAAAGACAACAGTTGTTCTTAAACCAGCATCATCCAGTTCGACTGCAGAAAATCAAGATATGTCTGAAACAAAAATGAAAAACAGATGTTGTTTAATACAATCAATGAAAACAAATGGTATCATCAATAAGAAAATGTGTAATTCTTTTTTATGTATTTATCTAAATGTTATGCTGATTGAAAAATTGATTCATAGTTCTCAATAAAATAAACTCAATATTGTACAATTTATTGAATGATACAATGTATAATAAACTGAATACATGTGTCAGTCGATTTCGAACGTTGACATTTCTACACAAAAAACACTACCTATATGAACTTCTCGCTTTTCTTTTAGACAATTTCGATGCTCATTTATGCGTATAGTAATTAATTACTCGAATGAAATACATATAAAATCTTATATCTACTGGAACACAATTCGTTCAAGTCTCTTTTCTTTCCATTGAAACAATTCTAAACAAATAGTGTCCACCTAATATCAGCTGATGATATATTTAACACGTACATCAATCAATATATTGATAACAAAAAATCAGAGTTAGCACGTGACAAACATGCCAAACAAACAAGATCGATTCGTCTGTTTTCATCTCAATAGGTTTTTATAGTGTGCGTAATAGATATGGCATAGAGTTCAAGCTCATGATAAAGTCATATGTGACAATATTTACTCATTTGTGACTAACCACGTTGTATGATTCTCTCAAGTGCGTAAATTCCAACTCAATATCACATTCCTTTCATTCTTTGTTTCTTTCTCTCTCCTCTACAAGGGCAAAGTGAGATAAGACGAATAAACAGACCGAGAAGAGTAACACTTAAATAGAATTAACGGAAGAACGAAGTACGATAAGAAGAAAATCATTACATCATTCAATAAATCAATAATATTTTTTTAGAAGTGAAAAAATGAAATGACGTCAAACAATTAACTACATATTCATTATTTCAGCTATTAGTCATTAATCGCATGAAATAATCTGAAATTAACATTGGCAAATACATACGAGAAAAAAGAAAACGGAAAATATTGACATTTATTTATAATTTTGCCAACAAAAACAAAATAATCACATACTGTTTATCACAACATATGGTGACTCGCTCAAATAGTTTTTTGTTCTCGTTTCAATAAAAATAATAAAGAAAAATATATATATATTCTAACTAACCACATAGAATATAACTAAAACCATTTAAAATTCATCAAATGAGTAAAGATAGACTTCCAGAATTCAAAGCAAACGTATGCATTATTTTCGATTCCTATCCACAAGATGATCTCATTTATATACATCTCTCATTTTAGGCTGAAAAATATATAAATGGTGAAGATATTAATATTATGAATCATTTCGCTGTTATTGATATGGAAGGACCTTTTATGGTCGATTTCTTTGATGAAGTGAGTACAAGAAGTTTTATTACAATAAAAAGAAAACTATTAGCGCAAGCACTTGCTGAACTAAAATGTAAAACTCAATAAATCTGTATATATTGTACATCAAGGGATTTTGTAACATATGTTTTGGTTTGTGATTCTTAATGTGCTGATATGTTCGTGGTGAAAGTTGCTATACATAATAAGTAATAATAAGCTTGGAAATGGAATTAAAGACTCCCCCCTCCCCCCCATCTTCAATTCTATCTTCTCTTCATACTAATCCTACAGAAGACTTTAGTTCATTCGTTAAGTCTGTCACAGATATTAATGGATTACGATGTTGTCAAGATGTCTGTGGGAAAGAGAACAGAGCTCTAAATCTCTACCCTTGTACTTCAATACTTTGTTTCTACTGTATTTCACAAAATTTCTGAATATACATTATATATAAACAGGTTAATTTTTTTGGGAATATTATCGATCAAATTACTGAGCTCGTCGATCATATTGAACATTTACACAATGCTATGTTAGTATCACCATTTGATTCCGGTAAGTTATATCTTCAAAATTTTCTCTTTAGTAAAAAAAACCTATTTAATATTCAGCAATTAAAAATGAACTTGAAGAAACAATGATAGAAGTACGACAATTAGGTAACAATGTTCGAAAACATTTGAAAAGTAACGAAATAAAAACCTTTCTTCAAAAACACAATAAATTGCTTTTGTTTTTAAGAAATGAAACAAACTCACGAAATAGAAATTAATACTCAACAAAAAAACATTCGTCAGCGTATCATTGAAACTCAATTGAATTATATAACAAAACGTTTTTGTGATATAATGGATAAATATTATGGGTCAATAATTACTTATCGTGAAAAATGTAGAACAAAGATTGCTTCCCAACTTCAAATAGGTTTCGATTTGTAATCATTTAATTATTCCTTTATTGAAATCTTTATCTATTCTAGCTGGAATCGAAAAAGATGATAATGAAATAGAAGATTTGCTAAAAAACGAACATTCAATTATTTATCCACAAGTATAGATAAAAAAGAAAAAAAAATTAATTGATAATAGTATGTTTATTTTAAACTATAGGTTACTATCAATATACAACAAACAAAACAAACATTAAATGATATGACAGAACGTCATTTTGATATTATGCTATTTGAAAATAGTATTCAAGAAATACATGATATGTATACTTGTTTAGCTAATATAGTTGAATTGGAAGTATGATATTTTTTAATCCTTGGAATTATAATTCCTTATTTCTTTTTGAATATCAGGGAATAAAAGTTACTTCTATTAACGAATATTTATCCAAAGCAGCTGCACATACCGAAAAGACTAGAGCTATTATTCTTGATGCTAAAATTCTACATCATCCTTCAAGAAAAGTTAGTAGAAACAATTCTGATTTTTTATTAATTTGAAAAATTATTTTTTAAAGTTATTTAGAAAAAAAATTGTTTCATTATGTTCATCATCATGGCGGTTATTTGCATCGTGTATTTATTACTAAAAATCGTGTGAACATAATATAATTTTTTGGATAATCTAGAGTTTATTACATTGCAATTGTTTCTTAAATAAAACCGAACTATGTGAAATAAATCAGAGATTTTGTTTAAAAGTTTTCTATGCTAAAAAGAAATGATTCATCGTTTGATTGGCATTGTTACAAGTAGTTCTGAAGTTGGATATTTTCCTCAAATATAGACACTCATTTCGAGCTAATCGTGATGAAAAAACTGATATGGTAACGAGCTTTTTTTCGTTCTCATACCCATTGACTAGTTATGAACTATTTAGAGACACATGAGCATAAGCTTATGTAACCAAATTTATTTCAAAACATACTGACATTACGGTTCAATATGCTATTGAAATACTGTGTGAAAATCAAACAATATTATTGATTATAATATTAAAAGAATATTTTCTAACTCATTTTGCAAATAAATTAAGAGGAAAAAGTCGATATTCAATGGTCATAAAAAATATTTCACGGAAATCGAACTTGCATCTTGCAGGAAAAGAAATATATACATAACAGTAAAAATACTTGTTCCTGTCGATTAGATTGGATTAGAAAAACAAGAGATTGTATTCCATGATCAATGTACATATGATTCACCTGTTTTCGCTGTATCTCATTGTCAGTAAATTCAAGACTTGCTTTGTCAAATCTTCTCATTATCAAACTCTATCATACTATGATTTGATGAAATTTGAATTTTCCTGAATATAGAAACTCACCAGAACATGAGATGGTTGTATAGTTAAAACTACATGGTGAGTAGCAGAGTGATATTTTAGAGAATAAGAGTGAAATATAAAATAGACTTCGATGATTAAATCATGAAATGAAATTCTTTAGATAATTATCATGTAATTCAGTAATGACATAGGTAACGGTTCTACAGGTTTGAATCGATTGCTGGATAAGTAAATAAATAAAAATATTTAAAAAAATATTGGATACGACGTAACTGGTAACAATAGCGAAAGGTATATAAATTACGAAGTGAACATTTGGTTCACATACTTCTGTATCCAAAGGAATAAAAAAATTGTTGTGTTTTCATTGAATAGCACCTAAATATGTGCCGTACAAGCATCACTTGTATTTAGATATCTTCACTTCTTATTGGTAGAAAATTCTTTTTCATTTTAAATGATACGTCTGGAGTTGCTTCTCGATCAAACGCTAAAGCTTAAAAAAATCCATGTATTTGCAGAAAATTTGAAGAAAATCGCGTTTATTTGAAAAATATTTTCAATTCTTCGTATCTCATGCATGAACATACAAGCTGTTTGAAATATTTGCAATTGTTATACATAAATGCAAGACAATATCACATACATGAAAATACAGTTTTTTTTTGTGGTTAAGCAAAACATTGGAGACTGTGCATGACTCGTACGCTTGTAATTAGTTGCATGCAATATTCTTGCGTGTTTATGCAAGATAGATGACTCACATATAAATGCCGAAGTGTTATTGTCGTGCACTTGTAAGAAGATGAGTTGAATTGTGCTAAATTTTGCATGTCAATGCAAAAACAGTCATATGTAAGAAAACTATTATCAAAATGATTCGGCGCCGGAATGCAGATCTCTGCTATTTTCTAGTGTGTGTACTGCTTCAATCAAGAATTTTGTTTTCTTATTCAAATTTTTCAAATTCGCTTATAGTTTTGAGGACTTCTGTTCATACGTACGTAATAGTTATCAGATGATCATTCGATTCTTCAGTTTTGATTGCACTTCTAATCGAAGTAAATGTTCAAATGGTGAGGAAGTTTGTCTTACAAAGCAAAGTATGTATGTTCGAATCTTATCTCTGTAAAAAAACACTTCTGCGTGTTTATGTACGTTTACTACATGTGCTTCAGTTTTTGGGCACTCTTAAATTGTGTTGCATGTACACAGATTTTATAAACTTTCGTGTTTGACTAGATCATCACTATATAACAGTAGAACAATGACTATAGAAGAACAACATCAGTTATAGATAATGGTCTATTATGATCAATTGATTCGTTTGAAAGACATATCAATAAGATGGTTTTATGCTTATTTTAAAGAAATTTTTGATTTGTGAATTATTATATTCTACAATTTATTAAACAACAAAAGTTCACAATGACAATTTATTTCATTCGTAGTATTATTTCTGATTTATATGGAGGAAATATTTTGTGAGTGAGCATAATTGATTGATTATTCAGCACACACTGTTTTCAGATTTTTTTCTTCTAATTAACATTATCATTTTTTCATTCATTGGTGATCCAACAAGAAATCCTTTTCTTCGATAGATAAACGTCGGATTATTCAATAAGAAAAATGCTAAATACCATTTACGTCGTGCTTTTGACCAACGTGTTGTTGATATGCCATACAAATGTTCACGAAGTAGAACACTCGTAAAATAAAGTAATATAGGATGTCGATGAGCACATTCCATATGAATAAATCCACAATAAGCACTAAAACCTGCTTCTAATGTTTCAAGTTTTCGACCCATTGAAGAACAATCAAGCCGACACATATATATCATTCCACCGATCATACCCGTTAGTACACGAATAATTGACGAAATTAAACCCAGAAATGCATCGAGAAAAAAATTAAAATATAAGTGAACCATCAATATACGACGATGATTAATAGATAAAACATCACCTCCTTGTTGAAGAAACACATATTGTGCTAAGATTTTATTCATATAGACTTGAAAAATGGCAAAAAGTAAAGGAGGAATAATCTTTTTGAGAATCGATTCTATAAATCGTACCATTCCATAAGTAATAACTATATCAATTATAATACCTATGATCATAACAAAAAATGCTACTAATATATAACCCCATAAAACATAACCGATTAAATAACCGGCAAAATGAATATTTTCATAGGCGTAATCAACACTTTGTGAAGAAATACGTCGCGGAATCTCTGAGTTATCACCATGAAATACTTGTAAAAGATTTCGACGAATAGAAACTAATAAAACAAGCAATTGTATAAAAATCACTATGAGAGCTGTAAATACAGCAATCAAATAAGGTCGAACAAGATCAGGAATAGGAAAATCAGAAGATGAATCTTCAATTTGTTGTAAACTAAAATCACCGTGAATGATGAACATCATTAACAAATTTATAAATTTTTGTAACTTAATACGTAGTGTATCGAGAAATGGAGGAACTTGAACACATGCCTAATTAACATAAAAATAGAGTTTAAATTTAATTGTAATAATATATTCTCTCATTTGACGTATTACTTACGTACCTGTAGAGTAAGAAAGAAAAGTAAAAAGAAAATCGATGCATAAACACAGAGTACACGTGATGAAAATCGAAAATCATTTCGCCATGCATAGATAGATCGACAAAGACGTGCAAATCGATTCATTGATACATCTTCTGTATTAGTTAATCGAAATAGATTTTTCACATATCGTGATTCAGCCGAGTTTGGTAATGATGAATGCAAAAGATATTCTTGTTCACGTGTCAATGGTTTAACTCTCAATTTTCTAGATCGAATACGTTTGAAAAGTAATATTGGCAATTTAATACTAACATAAGATAAAAATAAGTAACGAGGAATATCGGAAAATAATTGAAAGAAAATTAATTTTGATCCTGTTCCATAATAAGTTAAATACGTTATTGTTCCACTTCCATAAGTTTTATTGTAATCATCATTTGTAGAATAATAATCATTACGACATACACCATTAAAAGCTATGGTGATACTAAAATCAAACCATGCATACAATGTAGCTAATATCAAAGTAAATCGAGTATCGATATACACAGCAGCTAATATTGGATAACATCGAAAACCAATTACAAATACTTTTATTATTAGAAAAACATACGTGACGATTATACCTATTCATGTAAAATAATGTATAATAGAAAATGAACTTTCGTAAAAATTTTTAAACGTACTAAGAAAAGAAAGTCAGATAAGAAATAAAATAATAAGGTAAATTTCTGAAATGCTCTATCACTTTTCAGTTTAGGCTATGTGCATTATATAAGCACTAGTGAATTATGAACGTTCTCCTGTGAAGAGTTTTGACTAAGTTGTGCGTTTCAATTTGAAAATTTTCATAGAAATAGATTTCAATCAGAATGGTTATGATGCACGTAGTCTCGACTCGAAAGCAATTGAACACTGTTGAACTTTTCTCGTAAGCTAACTTTTGAATAATGATTATGAAACAATATTATTTAAAACAAAATCGTACACTGACACTAAGTTTAAATAAAAGATTTTTGAAAAAAATACTTCTAAAATATTAAGTTAATAATAACAAACCTTCATCTATTGATGAACGATTTCCATTTATGAATTGGTTTGCAAGATTTGATAGTTCATCAGCAAAAATTGCAAATGTAATTGCAGCAAATGTTCGTTTGATACGTGCAAAAAAATCTAATGGAATTGGTAAACCAAAATATCCTTTACAAACTCTATTTTTTCTATGTGATTCTCGTTTTGTAATCACGACAAATAACAAAATCAGTAAACAAGCAACAGGAAAAGTAAACATATTAAATTCTTCTCGCATATAAATTATACGACAAATAGATGGTCGATTATAAAAGAGAGATTGATTATTATTGAATTTATAAATTATTTCGTTATGAATACTTTTCAAAATAATCCATCTAATAATGATAGCAATTGTACCAAGAACAAAAGTACTAATAACAGTTATCCATGTCATCATTCGTCGAGATGAATTAGTTGCAATTATACAAATCGTACAAGATTTTCGTTTGACAGTTTCAATAGTTAATCTTTGAGAATAAAATGAATAAGTATGAAGTTTCTGTTTTGAATGTTACGCTTACGTATTCTTATAGTTTACTGCTTCTTGCCTTTTTTTACCAATCCAGCGAAATAATCCTAGACCATAGAACAGTGCAACAAGAAAACCTGTGATAATGCCAAGAGCTATAACCTGTTTACCGCCGCTCGATACTATAAAGAAACAATAAATAGAAAATCTTTGTATACATATACCTATGAATAGTCCACAAAATCTTTTTTCACTTGAATTTAATTTTTCTCAAAGGCATCATATTTGAAAGCTTGAATATTAACCATCTGATAATGCACTACCTACTTTCAATCAACATAATGCTTGTTAATGAAAGAAAACTTATTCAAAAAAAATTTAGCAAAACTTCAAGTTTTTGTACCATTATTTTCCGTTCATTGATCACTTTATTCTCGCCTTGATATGCACTTCAAAGTTTGTCCGAGATTTAAATCCTTATTCCGTTTTGAAAAAATTATTGACGTAATAATCAGTGGAGAAGATGGAAAATCTATTTTTCACATTGTTTATATATATTCATGAATCGTATTAAAAATATGCATAGTGGGTTAAATATTCCTACTATAGTAAACGCAGAAGGCATAGAAATTAGGGGAAACGAATTGATACACCTTATAGAGCTGGTGCGCCACTCATGAAAGATAAAATACCAAAAAATTGAACTCACGTTCATTACACAATGTTCCTTTCCACCAAAACTTGCATATACATGTCCATTCATCTTTTGAATTATCGCGACAGTAACCATATGTACCGCATGGATCATATGTTGAACAATCTTTTAATTCATTCAAAAACGAAATTAAAAAACCATTATGATTTTATTAATAATTACTTACTATCTCTTATGGAAATCATCACTTTAGTAATTAATAAATTTTTTATCATCCTGTTGATCAAACGTGCTATTGTGTTGATGTTTTTCCGATTAAGAAAAACAATAGAATTTGTATGTAATTACTTTTGGACACAATAATAAAAATCCACATGAATAAGGTCAATAAACAATCTATTGTTTCTTTTTATTTTAGTTTTCGCTACATTGTAAGATAAAAAGATAAAACGTAACAAGTATAATATCTCATGATGATTAATGTTAGTATTGTCTGTATACATATGACACTTGTCATGATGTCACAAAATACACAGATAAGGTAACAAAATTTTCAAATAATATATAAAATAAAACTGACTAATATTTAATGAAATTCCAAGCGTATTTACATGTTGCCAACTATATTTGAAATTTTCTTTTGTTTCGACTTTTTTTGTGTGCATTGGTTCTTGAAAACTATTCTCTTCAAGATTTTTTTCATTGAGCTTTTAGCATTATCCCTGAAGCACGTTGAGAAAAATCTACGTTGGTGATCATGATGCAACTTTGTTGACCTTTGATGACACATTTTTAAAATTTCTAGTATAGTACGTTTCTAACCAAAAAGAATGACTTCCAACATTGATTGATGTGTTTTTGACAACAAAATGAATGGTAAATGCATGAAAACAATGTTTATAGTGTTTTATCAATAACAATTATATATTTGTAGCAGTTCAAAATTTTGTATGTTTTTGAAGTTTATAGAAAATTGATTCCTTGTACTCTTCCGTTAACTAATTTACTATAAGACAGAATAACATTCAAGTTTGTTGAAGATATTCACATAGTTTCATGCATTTTTTTATGTTCATTTTTTGAATATAATAACATAGTCCTTGTTTAAATTAAGTACTTATAGAAACAAACAAAAAATAGACGTTCAGAACAAAACTAACGCAATGTATTTGTTGAAATATTTTAGTTTGATTAAATACAATTCATAAAATATGGTAGTCTTACAGTTTGTTTCTTCGAAGTTTCTATTTCTGAATATTCAATATCGAAAACTTATATTTTCGGAAATTTTCTGGATATACAAAAATATAATTGTGAAATTTTGTTAGTTTTACAAACATTCTTATTTTTGATGAATTTGATTGTTGTCTCAATAGTTTATTCTTATATTGATTAGTTTCTCTATTAATGTCTATAATAATGTTCATTCATATAATTATTACTCGTGGGACTATATTCAAATATACGTGATCATTGAGATCCAATAAAATCAGTGTCGGTTATCTACAGCATACATTTCTACATATTTCAATCCACTGTTATGATGTATCGTTTTCAATGATTTACTTTGTCGGCATGCAATTACGAAACTATGCACATGTACACATAGAAAAACATGTTGTGATGATTATGTGGTTTGTATTCTCTGTACATATTTTTATTTTTATTAAAATAAGAAAGACTACATGTTGTATCTTTCATAATATTGATATATTTCTATATTACAATAGTTCTATAACTTTTAACACTAGTATTCTTCCGACTTTGATTATGATAATATGTGCTTTATTAATTTATCGTAATTTGATACTTAAACGATAGCATCATCAGGTTACTGATACTGAAAAAGAAAGAGAAAGAAAACTGCAGCGCAAATGAGATCAATAAGTTCTACTCATGTTATTCTATCTAATTTAAAACAATATGAACGTTTCGAATGAGTCAACTAATTGCGTTGATATCAAACAATTTTCTATGTGTTTAGCTGAGATGAGTAATTTTCTATTTTCGATTTGTTAATTTTATTTATATACTATGGCCATCACAGATACTGCGAGTATGTTATGCTTTTTATTCGAATGTCAATGGTCAGACAATACTGATCGTATTACAGTACTACGGAAAATGATAGAATCACCTTCCGACTTTGATATGAAAAGTTCTATGAATGACGAATAAAATTTGAAGGAAGTCGAAGTCAGAAAATGATTCTATAATTTTTCACAGTACTATATATCCATCATGAATGAAATGAGAGTTTGAACGATAACTTAACAATTACAAATATTGATACCGATTCTACGATCGTTTGTGTGCAATGAAGAAAAATTACTAAGTACAATCGAATTCAGTTAATAGTAAGGAGTTCGACGGATGTTGCAATAAATGTTTTTTTCATATTTTTTCAGTTGTGAACTATCAATGGCTTTAAATGAAGCTCATCAGTCAATTTGGATCATTTGAAGAAATGTCAAAAAATGAGATCAACACAAATGACAATAGGAGGACTTAAGGAAAATATGTTTGTCAAAATATGAGATGGTCTTAATATTTCTTTTATATATCGGGAGAGTATTTTTATTCGTCTACTCAATTTAATATAAGCTCACATCAATTCATTTACTGTCATTGTTTTATATGACATTACTGACGTCATGTTTCTTGCAACTGCTTTTATGAGCTGTTTTTCTCTTATTGAGTTTCTTTCTAACGTCTATTTTTAAATAATGGAATTAGCATTTATTTTTGTTCTATATAATTATTCTAGTTTATAATTTCACCGTATTATAATCATTTCATCTACGTTGTGTATATTAATTTTCATTTGTTTCAATCATATGAACAACGAAATGTATATAAATAACTAACTTGTTATAATTGGGTGTGCCAAATATAACAACAAAAATTAAAATTTTCTAGCAATTAGATCAGCTATAATATCTGAAAACAACACATTTAATTAGTCAATTGATTAATAATCAAAATATTATGATCAAACAAAAATTAATAATTTATTATAAAAAAAAAATGCAAATTTAGTAAAATAGTAACCTAAAAATATTATATCATTTATTGATTTTATTCATTACATTTATTCAGAAAGAAACATCTTATTATATTTTGAAAAGAATATGCATATTTCAACATAAATGCTTTATAGATAGATGATAACATGAATAAAATTTTTAGTTATAGATCAACAGTTTTATTATATGAATTAGCTATAGTATTTAAAATTTCTAATAAGCATGCTTTATTATGTTTTTTGTCGTAGAACAGCTTGAATCAGCAACATAATATGGATTTAGAATTGCAAATTATTTTTTGACAAATCTACGTGCATCAAAACTTTCTATCGAATGATGTGTCTATCTTGTCTTTGTTTTCTATATTAATAATTCTTCCCGAATAGTAACCGAATCCGAGATGAAGCGACATATAGTGCGAACAAGAGAAAGAAAAATAATAGCGCATCGATTAATATGAAGGACACATAAATATAAAAAAAAAAAAAGAAGAAAAAAGAAAGAAAGAACAGAACAAATAAGAAAGGTTCTAAAAAAAAACAAGTTCTAATTGGAAAAGCCACATTCGTGATATTAGTGAATAAAAAGCTCATTTATCGCTGTCATTCGTTGATGATTCATGTTTTTTAATTACAATTGACAAATATAATTTATTTGAAAAAAGTCACGATCTTCAATCTTGATTTGTTCTTTCGTCGCCTTTCCTTAACAAGTGAAATATTATAAGTATTGATCATATTACATTCATTTCTACTCATGAAAATGTTGAAGATCTTTCTTCTTATTATTTCTGTTCAAAATCTTTATGCTCTACTTTGTTATTCAAATGGTTCATTTTATTTTTCTCGAAATGCATTTAATTGGAATAATTTTTCATCTATTTTACTTAACATTGAAAATCCAGTTATATCTGATAGTTCTCTTTGTCATGTTCGGATAACCGTAGATTATAATAATCATGAAAATAATTATGTCATTATACAATTTGGTTCGCCTATATATCATTATAATACACATATTGAATTTGGTTCAACAATAAATTTTAATAAAAATGAAATTCAATCAATTATAAGCTATCTTGATTACACTTGTTTGTCAGGAAATTTCTGTGATAAAAATTTTCTTAACTATTGGGCTAAACAATTACTCAATGCTAATAATAATTCATTACATACTAGTTTTATTTCATTATGGAAGAATTCAAGTAGTACATCAAATATATGTAATTCAAAACGAGTAACAAATGAATGCACAAGTTATTTATGTTTTACTATTTATGATGAATTAAAAAATCTTAGTTATGGAAAATCACAATGTAATGATAAATTATCAACAAATCCAGTTCATATACATATTAAAACACGTGGAGAATATTCAAATGATTATCAATGTATAAAAAATCACTGTACTAATCGAGTTATATATAATTCGATTTTAGAAAAATTTTATACAGAAAAATCAATAATTAATGAAATGCAAAAAAATTCAAATGAATTACATAAAACAATTTTTATACGAGCAATTACTATTATTGGAATATTATTAGTTATTGGTTGTATTGCTTATTATATTCAAACTCAAGAATATAGACAAGGTTACAGATTAGCAATAATTGCTTAAATTTATCAGGATTATATTTTTATGCTTTTGCTTTATTTGTAAATGTGTGTTTTCTTATTAATAAAATTTATATTTAGCAGAAAACAAAAGTATATATTACACATTTTTCATGTTCTCAAATAAAATCATCTGAACAATTTCTGTTGGATTTAGATGGAAAATGTCATGAATATTGGAAATAATATTTTAATATTATCAATTGAAATCGAACTATCGTCGTTCTGGTATTTTTTAACAAATATACGGTAAAACTATAAGACAAATATAATTATTTTTAATGATGTTTTGTTTTTGTGATGGCAAACAGCTAACGCTGTAATATAAATAATGATTTGATTAACCAAAGAAATTCTCTACAAAATGCATTCTATGAGGTTAAGATTTCTCAAAAATCAAAAATGATAGTTTTTCTTGAAGATAATTTTCTATGGGTGACATCTTAAAGAGCACAAAAACTTGAAAAAGGAATGAACAATCGCAATGTTTTGTATGACTTAAAATGATACAATTAAAAATAACATGTCTAAAAATTCTTCTAGATTGTGAAAGCTACATTTTTCAGATTTTTTGGAAATCCTTCTCTCATAGTTTCTCTATGA